TTTGAGACATACCCGTAATGATAACTTTAAATGAACACTGCCTCTTGTTCCCACTTCCATCCAATGCAGTGTAGATAAGAAGGGTAGTCTCATTAAACGTGAAGGGCGAACGAATCCCTGGCGGAGCCACGGTCACATTTGGAGCCAGATTACTGTTATCCAATGCGATAGGCTCAGTCCAATTGACCAGCACAGTAGAGTTAATACTTAAGCTTGCCCGGATATGTGTGGGACACCTCAGGAACACGGGTGGCGTTACGTCTGTGAAAGTATGCCAAAATAAAACGTAACATAACATTTTAGTTATCTGACACCCAGATATCCTCGTTTTTCAGAGGAAAATATCTGGCTGATCGACAGAAAAAAAAAATTATTTAAAAGTAGCTTCATTAATCTTTTTTGCTAGTAAGATGTTAGTTTTGCTAGCGTAAAACTGCGGCCCTTTTTTTATTTTTTGGTCAATTATATTCATTCCACGAAAACATGCAAATAGTGCTGTTTCGACATTTTTGGCCAGTTTAATAAAGTACACATGCCCACATATTGAATTCGCTCCAGGAGATTAATTGTTTAATGTTGGCTTAGAGCTGATGGCAGAGAAATTGGTCATGAATGCGTTTCGTTTCCGGGTCAACCAAAAATATCACATCTGTTATGTATAACATTCTGAGAGGACTTGTGAGTATATTTCCTTTATTGCCTTGAATTCTTATACCCTGCCTAATAAATACTTAGAGTTAAAAAGAAGAATTCACGTTCACGCTAGCGCTCATCGGATCGCTTTTCGGATAGGCGATGGGTCATTAAAAGATATTTAAAAAGTTGTTCCAGTTAAACTTTCAACTACTTGGACTTATTAAGGTGATCCAAAAAAATTCCAAAACGTTCTGTCAGAAATTAAAGGAGTTGTTCTCTATGTCATGTTTTAAGCCTTCATGAGCCGTTTAGAGCCTATATAGGCTACTTATGCCACACAAAACGCTCTAATCTTGACGAAAAATAAGAAGTCTTTTGTGAGAAAAATTTATGATGACAGAGCCCACTTTTCTCAACCTAGATTTCCAATAAGGTAAACCTTTAAAAACTTTGAAGTCTTGCGTGCTAAGGTGAATGGTCTTTTTTTCTTGTTGTTTGTGTAATAACTTTAAGGTTTTTGTATATATGGCCTTGGTAAATCTCCATGTTTGACCTTGGAAAAATACGATCAGCATTCATAGCAAAGGCAAGAAAATGAGTAAATGCAGCTAGTTTCCTGTAGATCATGTATTCTAGTTTCTTAAAATGCCCTCCGTGAATTAAAAAACGATCAAACGTCTTGCTTACCATGGCATTTCAGGATTGACGATTCAGTTCCATTCCACTTTCCGTCTAGGCCACAATACATCTGACTGACACCTCCATTGCTTCCATAACCATTCCTGCACTCAAAGTGGCAAGTAGTTCCGCTGCTCGGAAATGATGTGCAAGTGTGGGGATAAATAAAACCATCGTCTGGTGCGATTAGGGAGGAACATGACCGTACTAGGCAAAGAGACGAAATTTATATTGATATAGTACCTTATAATACATAAACTGTGAAAAATGTCAAAGTTGGACTTGTGAACAAATGAATAAATGAGCGAAATCGAATTGAAGGATAACTGACAGTCAGTTGCGACTACATTGAGGATATTTGAGTTAGCCTCAACATAAAAAATTATCTACAATATCCCACAAGAGATGTTTTAGGGCAAAGCACGAGATACAACAGATAGAATATGACTGATTCTCGAACAAAAACGACGTAAAAGACAGTTTCATACTGAAAGTACAACACAAAAACCAAATTAATCTTCAATAATTACCTTTACATACTGGAAAAGGTTTGTCCCAGTACCCAGTGATATGACCTAGTTTTTTCAAGCATGTAACGTTAGCTGGTCCAATTAAGTTGTAGCCGTCATTACAGCCAAATTTGCAGGTAGAACCGTAGCTGTTATCACAATCACCTATTGAAAAGCCATTTACTGGAGGACCCTGTCTCTGACATCGTAGAACTAGGGAAGAAAGAGATAAATAAAGCTTTATACCTTATTGTAGGGATGTATCTGAACTTAAAAGCAACCCTGCGTTCTGTGACTTTCCATGCATTCTGTTTAGGTGTTGCTTTGAACACGAGATACAAGGTAAAGATTTGATTAAACATCATTCTAAACACAGCGAATAGTACTTTTAAGAACCTCCCCTTGAGATTGTAAATGCAACTTTCTTATAATTATCTCTGGGGGATATCCGCAAAAGTATTGCCACTCAAAATACCTCACCCGTAATTAAAATGTGGAATCTGCAGATCTTGTAATTCATGGAATCGTCTGAGGCGTTGTAAACAACCTCATGTTTTCCATTGTAGTATACGCTCTTTACGCCACTTGAAGATAAATTTGGTTTCTTTCCAGAGTTGTCAGTGGCGACGACAGTGGGCCAGGTCAGCGTTGTATAGTTTTTTCCCTTATCCGCGTAACGCTTGATGTCACTGGGGCAAGTGAAACCAAAGGAAGGGCTCTCCTCGTCTGCATGGAAATAGAAATGAACTGAGATGTGACGAACGTAAAAAGATTCAAAGGGAAAGGTAGGGGAAGAAACGAAACACGCATGTTTAAAAATTAGTGGACTGAACTGTACAGGAGCAAAATAAAGCTGTTGAAACTTATGCAAAAGATTTATGCATATTTTTTTCTATTGAGAGGATCCCATACATCCTAGGGGAGACCCCAGCAGGTGTAGTCAGCAGTTTGTGGAACTTCGGATACAGGTGTATTTGCTCCTCAAGAGCCAGGCATCGATTATCCGCTTAAGGTCAGTTTTAGATACCAGAGATTCGTCAAAACTAGTGATCGAGTCTATGGCGGTTTCTAGGAGCCTCAGGGACTCGTAAACAAAAGTTTCCTAGTGCGAGAGATGCGGATGAGTTTTTAAGCAGTGAATCGATCAGAAGGTGCTTTATCCTTACCTCTGGCTTTACGGAGAAATGGGGATCACTGGTTTTTTGGATTTTCTTTTTTTTTTTTTTTTTCATCCAGAAAAGGAAAGTAGCGTTTCAGCTTATATATTTCTTAAGAGTGGATCATCGAACAGCTCTAACTCTCCAATATCGTTTCTAGATGTCCTTAAACACTAAAAACAACAAGAAATCAACCAAGGAGACAAGGTAAATCAATTCTAATCGCAAAAGAATGCATTCTTACTCAGAATATAAAAAAGCCTTAGAACACTCAGTTTCCCCTATGTGAAACAAGGTGCATAATCAAGTGATACCAACTAACCTTTACAAATCATAGTTGTATTTTTTGACCACTGTTTGTCACTTAGGCAAGTCACCACAGGCTCCCCGTACAGGACATAACCTCGGTGGCAGCTGAATTGACACACTGTATCGTACTCTGGCGACACTTGACAAGATGGAGGAGACAGGAGACCATTCATTGTGGGCTTCAGGGCTTTGCAACGTACAACTGTCGTTGTGATAGAAAAAAACGTAAGTAAGGCGTGGTCTCATCAATTTAATTATAATACGAAGAACATGAATTTATCAAAGATGCCAAATCAAGTAAACGCTTAATTCTATTCATTTGAATCAGTCTATTCATACAGCTAGCAACAGTTTTACGTACATGTTCATCGTAAGAAAGACACTGGTCTGAGAACACTCCAAGATCCTTTGCCACAGGTATAGGTAATATTTGTTTACCACAAAGCGTTATCGTTATACATGGAAAATTAGGACAAGAGGCCCGGTAAGATCAAGTCGGTTATACTACACTTCTATTTGTCTTTTGAAAGGTTAACCTCTATCAGTAGTTCATGAAAAATGAAAGATTTATCTTAAGGGTATGTTTCTCAGTTTTCTAACTCGTTCTACTTATTTTCCGAGAGATATTACACCTTAGGCATCCATCTGCTCTGAAAATGTTTCGAAAGTGATGGTGTTTGTAAAACAAAATGTTGTTTAATCCAGATTTCCGACGAATGGCCCATTTCTTCATCATCAGGATTATCATGATATCGTCTGTGTCTTCTGCTTTTTACTCTAGATACTTATCCTTTGACTTTTCTGGCAAAAGACATATCGTGACGGTTTCGGCTTTAAAACACACTTCAATGTGTCATTTATGATGGAGGAGGGAAGCGATAACTCTAAAGATGCGAATTACGAACATTTGGTTGTTACTATTACCTTGGCAATACGGAGGCTCTCCGGACCACGTGCCGTTAGCCTGACAAACTCTCTCGGTGGATCCATTTGCCAACTGGTATCCGACATCACAATATAAAAGACATTTGTCACCATATGTATTGTGTAAGGAGCCACCTCCACAACCAGACTGTATACTGTGTGGTGGGGGTACAAGGCGAAGACACCTGACCACTAAAACAAAAAAAATTTTTGTACACCGCTTTTAAAAGAACACTTCTTTTTCTGAAATAATGAGGTAAGGGGGATTTGGGATTTGGTCCGCAGCTTTCATCAGGGACCTCGAGTTTGGTTGGTAAGGGGTAAGATAAAATACAGTGAAAACGTTCTCTGGCTAAAAGTTTTGGGAATCAAAAGCTTTCGGCTGCCGATCTACAGCCTTCCATGGATAAAACATGAGATGTAAATTAGTAAAATATAAACAAAAAGCGAGGTGATAAGAAGAACAAAGTAAAAATAGAGAAAAGATGGGTATTGTTTAAAAAGAATCCTATATTGATTAGGGATCGGCTCACAGTTATTGTACGCATTCTTTATAGCAGAGGTGTGCCAAGCCTCCAGAGTTTTTCTCATACGAAAAGAGCCTTTGTCGATAACTCGACAATGATTGAAATCAATGCGATGATGAGATGACCACACATGTTTCGCAATGTTTCACTCATTAGCACATGTCTTTGCATTCCTAATGTGTTCTTTCTTGCGGGTTTTAAAGCAATGGCCAGTTTCACCTGTATAACACCAGTCATAATCGGCACAGGGTAGTTTATAAACACATTGGGTTGGTGTTCAATAGGTGGTCTGAGTTCAGGAGAACGGAATTCTTGTTGCAAAGTCTTAAAAGGCTTATTTACAACTCGAACATCGTGCTTTCGAAGAAATCAGCAAGAAAGAACACATTAGGAATGTAAAGACACGTGCTGATGGGTCAAACATTGCAAAACATGCGTGGTCATTTGATCATCGCATTGATGTCAATCAATGTTGAGTTATCGACAAAGGCTCCTTTTGTTTAAGAAAAACTCCGGAGGCTTGCCACACCTCTGCTATCAAGAATGCGGACAATGACTCTAAGCCGATCCCTAATCAGTATAGCATTTTTTTAAAACAATAGCCACCCTTTCGATATTTTTACTTTGTTCTTCTTATCACCTTTACCTCGCTTTTTGTATATATTTTACTAATTTACATTTCATGTTTTAACCGTGGAAGGCTGTAGATCGACAGCCGAAAGCTTATGTTTCCCAAAAATTTTAGCTAGAGAACGTTTTCACTGTATTTTAATATGTCCCATCGTGGCTGCGCTTTAATTCTCAAGAGGTAAGTTGATTGGTATGTTAAATTTAACTGGAATTACTCATATATCTTCCATCCCTCTTTCCATGTACTTCTCCCCTCGCCACTTTGCAACTGGTAATGGCACCTCTATAAACCACCAACCGAAACCAACTTACATGGTTGAAGTTATATTCTCTAACATCACTCTTAATCAGGGGAAAGGAAGGAGTCAGTCTCAAATTTTCCTCTGGACTAAATCCAAAATTTTACTTACGATCGCATTTTGTTTCGTTTCCTGTCCAAAATCCCAAGCTAGTCACTGCGTCCTTTTCGCAGACCCTCTGGGAAGAGCCTGTAATATTGTACCCAGTGTAACAAGAAAACGAGCATTCTGATCCATATCGATTGCTTTTGCTGCATTTTGAAGTTCCTCCTGATGGTGCATCAAGTTTTGGCACACATCGAAGAACTGCAACGAAGAATTAGATTCTTTTTTTGAGTCTTAGTCTCATGTATAATTTTGAGTGAATTAAGCATAGTGTGTTTCATTTCTTCGGAGTTATTTATGCAGCTTTGAAAGAGTAGCAACACTTTTCAATGCTTTCTCAGTGGTCAAATCGATCTAATCCTCTGATTTTCTGAAACTATAAATGATGATCATAAACCAAGCAAAAAGGAGAAAGAAAAAGGGATTGAAAAGATTTTTACAGTTTGTCTGCTCCATTCATCGGGCAAAAGGGTGAATGCTTTCCTTCATCTAGTATTCGTTGCTGGATTGTGCTGTTTCAAAGTTTTTCGTTTCAAATGATGTTTATTTATCTACTCGTGTACTTTACTATTAATCTAATGAATTATATTTGGGCTCAGAACTTCCGTTTTCAGTCCTTTCTCTTTGTGTTCCTTTTGTCTATTCAACCACCAAATTCAGAATTATGTACTATAATGTCATAAGTCAGCTGGTAAGTTTCCACGTTTCTGGTAAATGAAGTCTTGGATTACTAAACTCTTACGTCACGAGGAAAACGGTATTAGTGTGTTATCATTGTTATGTTTGTTTTAAACAAATTGTCCAGGGCACGAACGTTCTTATCTACAATTTCAAGCCTTTATAGTCTTCCCACTGCAGCCTGAAAATATTGTTTAAATTCTCAGTCTGCATTTTGTTCCTAGTTCGCTTTTTATACCCAGTCTGCAGTCTGCGCTTTGTGCTGACCGGTTTAGAATTCTCTTCCATGATATGGTCCTCTATTACGGCGGAAGTCTGCTAAAATGAATGGACTTTGACCTACTTCTTCGTTCTTGTGATTTTCCACCAGGTAAGTCCTCAGACTGAGGTTCGTTCTGCTTGGCCACATGAGTGTTTTGATTGCATATTATAGACTGATCAGTTTTTACCGTGATGTTTCAAAACACTTTGCTCAAGCATACGTCTAATTAGTAATTTTGCTGATATGGATGCTCAAAGGTTTCCTCATAAGTGCCACAAAAGTTTCGCTCAAAGTTTTGCTCGTAAGATTCACTCGTAAAAGGCTGACTATTTATAACCACCTGGTGAGCTCGGAGGATAGACGAGCAAATGTCTCGAAGAGTCAAAGATTCTTCGCATTCATTGTCTATACTCGTAGTCACACCTTTAGTCATTCAAAGAACTTTGTATCGGTTACGCACGTACTGAGTGCGACGACTATTAATCGAAACTCCCTCGTAGCAGCATTACTTCGGACTGAGTCAATAGAGGTGTTCCGGTAACATATTGAATCGATTTCAATTGTTCTGCCGTTCACATATCAAATTGTTTTTATCTGACTGAGTGACAAATTGGCATATTCTGACCTCCTACAATAGTCCTTCCACGCTCCGTGTATCCACGACTAAAAATGAGGAAAAAAGTCGCAAGAGAAACGCGAGAGAGACTGAGATCGTTTGGTTGTTGTTGTTGTTTTTTTTGTTTTTTTTGTTTTTTTTTTATGAGAGATGATGTAAATCAACTATTGTACAAAGGCTGTCCCTACTCGATGACGATTCAGTTACTTGAGAATAGGATTGTCCAATCTGTCAATGATCGCTATTGATAATAGTGTAGTTTACTTTACAAAAATTACCTGAGACAAGGACCTTAAACCTGCATTCTCCTATGTTTCCAGACTTATCGCTGGCTAAATACCGAACGTTATGTTCTCCAGCAGCAAATATCTCCCCAGGCTGTTTTCCAAAATGAGTAATGTTTGGGTTGAAGCCAGAGTTGTCTGTGACGTTTGGATGGGACCATTTGACCTTCGCCGACTCAGTGCCTCTGTCAGCTGTGACAGCAATATTCTTTGGACAGTTTGAGAAGGCTGGAGGTGAGATGTCTGAAAGAGTAAAGAGTAATTTTCCTCATTTAGGAGTAGTTCATAAAAGAATAAAGCTAACGAAAATCTGATTTCTGTTTAATTTAGGGTAGCAAACTAAAGTAAAATGAGAGGTACACACGAATAGTGTTATTATCGTCTAGCTGAGAGATATTGATGAATTCCAGACTCGGTCTTCACTTATTTTGATAATCTAGATACTTATATAGCAGTATTCTTTTTTTTTGTCAATAAAGAATACATAACTAAGGAGATATATAAGCTTTACCATCTAAATGTAAAGTGTGTACAACAAATCTGCACCGAAATGAATTTATGAGAAATAGCAGAGTTTGACTGGTGTCCAAAGAAAAAAGCCCATTTATATAGACTCCAGAATAACAGACATCACTTAGCCTCTACTCAAAGGATCCCATACATTAATCTGCTTCATTTCCCAAACAAAAGGTTTACTACGAGCTCCCTCAGAAATATACACATCAAACAAATCAAATCTGATTTATCAATGCCAGCAAACCTTTGCACCATGGATTTCCTATTGGAGTCCAAGTCTTGAACTGGCTGCAAGTTTTTATCCCAGGCCCATGCTGTTGATATCCATTCTTACAAGTGAAATGGCACTGGGACTTGTAAGGAATGACAGCACTTGTATTGGTGCATGATACTGGACTAATGCCTAGTCCCTCGGACTTTATAAACAGGGTGCGGCACTTAATGACTGGGAATGTACAAGAAAAAGGCAACGTCTACTTAATCCTTAGTTACTCTTTTAAGAGAATAAGAACTTGCAAGAAGAACCTCGGGCAATAACATGTCGTAGAAAGATGCTTTGAAAACTTCGAGGTAAAACTCTCTGCCAATAGCCAGGCAATGGGATTTAAAGAATGTGATGGCTTTAGCATAACAAACAACCAAATATCAAATAAAGGACATTTTGGTTGCTATTGTAAACTTTCAGCTTACTTACTAAATTATTTATAGCATCAATGGTGACATATTGTTTTGTAAAAAAATACAATTTGCTCACTTAAGCAACTGCACCAGTCACAAGTTTGATCCCTGTAAGCTGTATAAAGCTTGGTTAGCCGTATAGGCAGAAAACTTTGCCTGACTCGACGAGAAAAAGCAATTCTTGCCCTTAGAATTATTAAAAAAGGTGAGGAGCACTAACTTACCTTGGCACTGAAGTTCAGTTCCACTCCAATGTCTTGTATCGAGACATGTTCGTTTCTGTGATCCTCCAGTGGCCTCGTACCCAGTTATGCAAGTGAAGAAACAAGAAGTGCCGTAGCTTGAGTTTGAACCAGAACAGCCATATCCTGATTTTACCACGTTAACTGGAGTGTCCAAGGAAGGGCAGCGGATAGCTGAAGTTGCAAAGAATTAAACCTAATATATAGATTTCGGAACGATGAAATCTTTAATCGAACCTTCGCATAGTATCCTTTTCTTAGAGACAAGAGATATTGTTTGATCATTAAGATCGTGTCTCTGTAAGAATCAAACATCTTGGCAAATGAAAATTTTCAACCCCCATTCAAATTTCGCACGGAGTTAGTCACACGCTTGAAGTCTTCCAGAACAGGTGCCTGCGCAGGATTCTACGCATATACTGGCCACAGACAATCTCAAACTATGAGCTGCGCAGAAGAACTGAAACAGAACCGATTACACAGCAAGTCCCGCGAAAGAGATGGAGATGGATAGGGCATGTGGTGCGCATGCCCTCAGCAGCTTTACCACGAGCTGCCCTCATATGGACCCCTGATGGTAGTAGGAAGAGAGGCAGGCCGAAAGAAACATGGAGGAGGACAGTGGAGAAAGAGATGAAGGAAAGCAGCTGGACATGGGTGTAGAATTTAGCATTCTTTGCATTTCATTTCAGTTCATTAGCATTCCTTCGGGAATACGTTTTGTCTTTCTTTCCCGCGTTCGGTATAATTTACATATTGTTAATATTCTAGCTTTTCAGTTTCATCGTCGATTTCACCGAGAGAACATCTGGTCTAGAGTTGCCTTTTTCGCGGCCTACAGCGCCGATACAATGTAAGTTCCTAGTTATCATGTTCATCGCGTTCGCTTTAGCAGCCTTTCAGTTTCTATATTTCTGCATTTTGTAAGCTTTTATTTTTGTTGGTTCTTCAATAGTTCAAACCTCTTCCTCTGATCGAGCGTTTGAAATCATTGCTGTAAGCGGCCAAGAAGAGACACGCCTTTTGGTAATAACAATGGGGCCACCTGGAACGACAAGCAACCGACAGAAGCCAATGGCGCTCTTTGGCCTAGGCCTTATGTGTTTCACAATTTAAAGAGGATTAAGTAAGTAAGTAGGCACTCAGAGAGGGTGCACAAAAATTCCCTTTTTAAAGGTTGCAGTACTGTTGTAACCATGGTAACAACGGCTGCTTGTTCGAGGCCTAGGGCCTTTTTTTCATTCAAAAACATCGTAATAAAGTGTAGAATTTCTTTCTCTATGTCAAGCTAAATACAACATTACAGATTGGTACTTCTAGCATACATAGCGAAATCGTTCCTCTTTACTTTAATACATTCAAATTTCACTGGGAGTAAAGGTGAACACACCAATAGATTATTTATCTTGGCACAGTCTCGGTCATTTTTGCTGTAGGGTAAAACAGGGAAAACGTTTGTCGTAGTTTCTCCAAAAGTACACCGATTCTGGAACTGAAACTACGCACTTAGTGGGTTATAATATTCTCGTTTTTAAATATTTAAAAATCTCTGCGGGCCGGTCTCTACTTTTCATAGTGGCAATTCGCGAACGAAACCCAAAAATCAGAGTCAACATAAATTGGCAATGTTTGCATCTAATGTTCTCAACAACAAACGTATCAGACAAATAAAAAGTCCAAGAATTTGAAAGAATGTTATCTTCCAAGCAATATCCCGAAGAGCAATCTCACCTCTAGCTATAATACCAAAAAAAAAAAAAATTGATCAACCTTCATGAACGACTAGTCGACTTAACTACAAACATGTTTCCAGATTCCGAGTACTGTACCTTCTTTCATGGGAATTTGAACAATCCGAGATCCTCTGACGATCCACCGTTATACTTGTCTGTCATTTAAAACATGTTTAAGTTGGCTGATCTACACGAAACTATCGTAACACCGGTCATTTTTCGTAAACATGTACGTGATCACGATGGCGTCACGCTTGATTTCACCGTACCATAAAGTTTCCATGCGGTCTCTCCAAATAATGCGAAAAATGGACATTTCTCGATATTTCAGCAGATTTCCGGGCATTCTGAGATAAAAACAATCAAAAATGAGAGGAAAACCCTTATTGAACGTTCGTAAACACTGAAAGTGAGAGTATAAATCGCAGCCTGTGAGCGGCATTAATACACGTAAAACCCAGTTGCCACAATAGCAATTTGTACGACACATTGCCTCTCCTTACAAAGAGCAGGTTCGGGCAGTTGTCATTCCCGGGTGAGAGGAATTGAGATATTACGAATCTGAGATATTTCGAATCAAACTGTTAGAAAACTGTCAGAAAATTTGCATAAGATATGATGACGAGAGACTTATCACCGCCGCAGTGCAATCGAGTCTGTCATGTTTCCTTCCATGTCTTCATCAAGAAAAAATCAAAACAAAGTTCGAAATGAAAGATTCAGTGGAATATATATTAATCTTATAATTCCACCTTTCAAGCTAGTCATTATCCACACTCAAAGCATAACTGGTAACTGGAATGAAACTCCCCATGGCTAAAATGTAATGTTGATTGCTTCAGGTTCTTCAGGAATAGAAATAGCGACTTCATCACGATTATTTTCCATAATTTTTTTCCCGGATATATTTTATAAGATCAAAGAAAGATGAATATAACGCAGTCTTTTGGTGATTTAAACGACAGAAAGTCATAGGTCTCTTTAATTTTCTCCTGAGGTAACCGCCTCACCAAGACAAAGAAGGAGATCGTTCGGTCCAATAACGTTAGTCTGTGGAGATTATCAAGCTAAGAAATGAGAAGATTGTGCTTGTTGGTTCATCAGTGACAAATCTGTACTCCTTGGTCCATGCGACACCGAAAAAAGAACCTTTGTAATTTTGTAGGCGCTTACTCTAGCATTTTATTATCAAGAAAAAGAATTCTCAAGTCTCAAAGCCAAAATAATGTTCAAGCATGCAAAAGATTCCCTGAAAAAAGCTAAATTTGGGGAAAATAACTGTGATAAAATGCGGCTGTTCCGTTTCCTTTAATGAGGGGATACTTAGTTGCTCAAAACTCCCCTTTGTGATAGTTTTCGCGCGAGTGGTGGATTTCACGTTTAGGGAAAGGAATTCGTCAGTATCCTACTCCTTTCTCTCATTTTTCGACTGTGCTTAATACCTGCCGGGAGGGAACGCCAGTCTTTTTGTTGTTTTTGCTGGTCAACCATCCGTATTCCGACCTTTTCTGGTGGGTCCGAATTTCGTGGCAACCCATCCAGATTTTCAGTTTTGCTGAACTTGGTGGGTCTAGCCACCTCGCAGCATGCTCTCTAGGCCTTTTTGTCATTTTTCCGGCTTTTTCGGAATTGTCATGGAGCTTGTGTGCGCCAGAGCGTGCGTGATCCACGCCACACCGGCTATTACAGTCTACCCAAGACCCCACGTGCTCACCATTTTGGAAAAGGTCATCGATTTCGACAAATTGTCCGCCGTTCAATTTGTACCGAGAGGCTTTATTCGACTTACCTTCAAAGAACCAGACGATATGGCCAGTCTTGTTGAGCGTGGCGTATTAGATATTGAGGGCGTAGAGTGCAGCGTGACAGAGTCTGACCGGCCACACACCCTGGTTTACATCCACCATTATCCCGCCAAAGGGGATGATGGGATTCTGTGTGATAATTTCCGCCAATTCGGGAAGGTTTTCTTCTACAAACGGCAATCGTTCATTGGGAGGCCTGGCCTCGTCACCGGCTCGCGCATTTTAACAAGTCGCTCACGAAGCCCATCCCAGCCGCAGTTACAATTCATGGGTACCCTGTTCGTATTTGGTACCGAGGTATAGAGTCGTTTCGCTCTATCTGCAAAGTTATGAGCCATAAAGCGACCCATTTTCAATACAATGGAAAATGTATTAGATGTAGTCAAGCCGGTCATTGGGCCCGTGAGTGCCCCTCCCGTCCTAGCGGTAATGCCTGGGGCCCGTGCCCTCAGGTGCTAGTGTTTTTCCCCCGGTAGCTGATTCTCCACCAATTTCGGCCGGAAATGCGGCCTCCCCCTCTGTAGGTACAGCCGAGGGTGCTCCTAGCCCCTCAAATGCTACGGAAAGTAATATCGTTGGTGTCACGCCTATGGATGAAAAGGTCATGGAAACTGTCGAGGGTGGTGAGGAAACTGTTCAATATGAACTGAGTATGGAGAAAACAGAAGTAATTACTTGTGAGGTATTAAAAAAAATACAGAAATATACTAGTGAAGTAGTTCATAATGAATGTATTATTAATCAATCTGAGGCCTTAGTTGAAGAAGTTAATAATGGTCCTGGAAAAACCAGTGACGCAGTTAATGAAAACAACATTACTTTAGAAGAAAATAATGAACTAATGATGATATTACCGAATTCAGTTCGCAAGACTCTACCTCTAGTGTAGAGTGTTCTGAGTCCCCGGTTATCTCTGAGTTCCCCTCCCTTGTCGAGCGGAGTGTGTCCTCTGACGGTTTTGAGGCTGTCCCCAAAACACGTACCGGTAAAGCCCCAAAGTGGATAATGGTCCCCTCTACCGCACAGTTATCTAAGGCCATCTCCAAACGGTCCAAGCCTGTGCCTAATTTTACCAAGAGGAAGGGAAAGACCTCAGTTTAATGGGCCTTTTTCAAAATTTTTCCCATAGCTCTCGCCATCATCACGTTAAACATAAACGGTATCAGAGACCGCTCTAAGCGAGATGGTCTTGTGCAGTGGTTGCGATCACTTCACGTAAGCGTGGATCTGGTTTGCTTTCAGGAAACACATTGTGTGTCTGCTAGTGAGTGCTCCTCTTGGTTTCTATCCTCTGGGTTTAGTTCTGTGTTGTTACCAGGTTCTTTCCATTCTTGTGGGTGCATAATTCTCTTTCGCCCCACCCTATCTTTAGTTACTTCTTGGTATGAGACTGCTCGGCGTTTTTTCCAAAGTGAATTTTCTTTTCTATCCAAGTCTTTTAGCGTGCGTTATCTGTACGCTCCCAATCTCTACCCTGCACGAGACGTATGTTTGGATAATGTCCACCCTAGGGTGGATCCTACTGTGCCAACAACTTTGTGTGGTGATTTCAATGCAGTGTTCAATCGCACTTGGGATAGGCTTGGCTCAGACCTATCTGACCAGTACCAGGAAAGCAGAGTCTCCCCACGGGGCC